TCTCTCTATTCAGTGTGTGGGGTGTGTGTGTGTGTGTGTGTGTGTGTGTGTGTGTGTGTGTGTATGTGTATGTGTATGAGGCCTGGGAGTGTGACAGCTGCCAGGGCCCTGTCCTTTTCTCCCCTGTGGCTGGCCTTCCCATCCGTCCATCCGTCCGTCCATGTGTCTGTCTTGGTGAGATCCTCAGAGGCTGTAGGAGACGTCAGAAGCCGAAGGAGGCTACCCTCCCATCTCACTGCTCCTCCTGCCACTGCAGGTCCCTCTGCAAGGCTGGCCTTGGGTTCTCAGGCTTCTGGGATTCTGTCTGCTGCTGCCAGGGCAGGGAACTGGCAGTCCGGGACTTGGCAGTTTTAATAGGGAGGAAGCATTGGCTTCTGCTCATCTGTTTCTCCCTCCTATTCCCATTAAGCCCTGAAACAGGTGATGCCAAAAGCTCCTCAATCGTACCTGTGAGTGTGAGGGAGTGGCGACTGGGCTGTAGGACTTGTCCCACCCTGGCCCCAACCTGCGCCCCACTCCAGGGCACCTGCGGGGCTTCCCCTGGAGACAATCCTGTGCTTGCCTGGGCTGGCCCTGGCTATTCCTGCTCCTACCAATCTGCCAGCTTCCAGGCTGGCTCCTTGCCATCCCTTGAGCTCTCTCCTGCTGTGAACTTGGCCTTTTCTTGGGCCTCAGGGCCCTGGTTTACTAGGCTAGGCCTGGGCTGCTCAGGACTGGGTTTTCTAGCACCTGTGGTTGGTATGGAGGGGGCCTCTCCTCTGGGCCCCTCATGCCCACCTCAGCCCAGCACAGCTGCTACGGGAGCACAGTAGTTCAGGGTTGGCCGGAAGTCTGGAGGCTCCAGCTGTGGGAGTGCGAGGGTGGGTGGGCAAGCCCCACTCAGCACTTAGTGCTAAGCAGCGCCGCTACCTGGGGCGGGGCAGGTGGGGGTGTGCAGGCCAGTGATGGTGACCCAACCCAGGCTATCCTGGACTGGGCTCTGCCCTACAGTCGTCCTCAGGGTGGCTGCTGGGCACTCTTTCATTCTCTAGCCAGGGCAGACACCCAGCTGGCTGGGTCTTTCTTCAGCCTCGCCTCCTTCCTGTCTCCACCCACCTCCTGTCCTGCTCCTGACTGCTGGTCCCCTCTCCCCTCTCAACTATTTCTAGTTATCACTGCCCCGTGGTCATGGACTGACCAGACCAGCATCCACAATAAAAGTTTGTTCCACGTTGACAGTGTCGTGTTCCCTGCCCAGCCCTCCAGGTGGAAGTGCTACCACAGGGACTCTGTGGGCTGGCCTGCCCTCGAATTCCCAGCAGCAGCTCGCACAGCTCTTCAACCTGAGCTGTGTGACACAGGACAGCGTGCCAGCTTTCTGGGAACCTCAGTTTCCTCATTGACAGTAAGAGGCAAACCCTATGCCAGGGCTGTGCAGTCAGAGTGGGGGCCTGGCAGGCCAGCAGGCTGGAGAGGTATGGAGTGTGGCACTGACAGGGCTGTCGTGTGGCCAGGACCACCAGGTGGGCTCGATGTGTATCATGGTGTGTGACAGTCACAGCTTCTGTCTCTGACGGAGGAATTATTAGCTGTTTCACTGGTTGAGGAAACTAAAGCTCAGCCTGTGTGCTGCCAGCAGCCCCCCATACCTTGTCCTATGCTTTTGCCACCCATGTCTATGGACTGCTTCCTGTCTGCGCTGCTCTGTGGGCTCTGGCTGGCTCATGCTGGTGCCTTCCTAACAAGAGGGCTGCACTGAGTGCGTGGAGTAGCAGGAGTCCTGACTGAGCTATGGTGGAGTCTCTTCCTGTTTGAACACTGCCTCTCCAAGCAGTGGTGGTCGCCACTGCCATTGTTTTGGGGAGCTCTAGCCAGCACCCTGGCCTCTGTCCTTAGAAGTTCTGGAGAGTGGGTCTGTTCCCCTGGCCCACATCTGCCAGCAGGGAGCTGACTGAATTTAGCATTCCAGTGTGGGTCACAGGGACTGCAGAGGTCCCAACCCTCCTGCCATGCATTGGAACAAAATACCAGCCCACTGTGGCTGCTCTTAGATGGCAGGGCCTGACCTGGACATGCAGCAGGAAGGAGCTTTGGCCTCTAGTCAGGAGGAGGCCCGGGATGGATGGGATGGGGGTGACCAGGTCCCTATCACAGGCTGCCTGGCTCACTTGCACCCAGCACCGAGTGAAATGAAGGAACAGGAGTGGACCCCATGCAGGGACTTGGTGTTGGGAGTGGTTGGGGAGGTGCCCTGAACCGTCAGGATCTGCACTTGGAGAGACCGGCAGACTGTGTCCTGGTGTGCAAGTGCCAGGGACCTGTTCATTGGCTTTTCCTGCCCCAGGATGTTTCCTTGGTTAGCATATGCTTCGGAGAGAGGCATAGCAGGTGAAAACAGGTCACACTCTGGACCTGAAGGCCCCACTGGACTTGCCCTTCCCCATCCCTTCCTGGCACTGGCTGGCTCCCTTACACTCCACCCCCACTGTTTGGTTCCTGACTATTTTCTCAGCTGTGGCCAGGCCCACCTCTGGGCAAGGTGCCTGGGTTAGTGTGAGAGACTTCTGGGCCAGCTATAGAACTGTCCCTGAGCCATGACTGTATCAGGGGACTCACCTTGTCCAGGAACTATGGGGGAGTTGTGTAAGGTGGACAGGGTCTGTGGTTTCTGTGGCACAGACTCTGCCTCTGCTCATTGGCACAGGACAGGAGAGGCCTCTTCCCCACGGTGCCCCAGTGACAGATCATAAAGCCAGCCCACTTCCTGCCAGCCTTGGGCCCTGCAACACTGGTTCTGGCCCCATTACAACTGGTTTGTAACCAAAGTCTTGGGTTCTTATACTTTAGCCCTTGAGGACATGGGTTCAGCTAAGAATCCATTCCCTCATTTCCCCAAGAGCAGTTGCCCTGTGCAGTGCTCGATAAAAACCACATTCCACTCTTCCTGGGCATCCTTTATTTTTTGCATAGCCATAAATTAGAATCTGGAGATTAAAAAAAAAAATTAAGAACCAACAGTGCAGCATTTGCGACAGAAGAGCGCCAAATCAGACCTGGTTGTCTCGGGGCAGAGCTGAGCAGGGCCTGGTCCTGTAACAGGGCCCCTGCCTGCCCACAGCCCCTCATGCCTGCTCCCCACAGGCCAAGACCAAGGAACTGAGAACCACCCAGTGCCCCACAGAACGGGGCTAAGAATCAAGCCCTTAGCTTTTCAGTTAAAAAACAGACCTTGAAAAATATATACATAATACAGCAGGGCCTGTGGCTCTAAAAGCCCCTTCTCCGCCTCCCTCCCAGCCCCCACAGAGGAGCCAGAAAGGAGAGAGTCTGAAGGGGAGCCAAGAGCCCAAGGGCAGCCTGAGAAAGGGCCCTCTCCAGGCCTGCTTAGGGGGCAGCGGGCTAGTACAGACAGCCCTCCCTCCACCCAACACCCTGAATGGCACTGATATTGTCACGGATCAGGAGAGCCCAGAAATCCCCTGCTCCCCCATTCTAGCTAGTGGCCCCTAGACAGGCCTGGGCACCCTGCAGGCTGGGGAATGTGTGAAGCTTGCTCTAGGGCACAGGCAGGCCCACTGCAGAAATGATGCAGGGCAGGCCTCACCCTGGCATCAGGAGAGGAAAAGCACAAGGAGTCCTACAGGCTGGCATAGGCAGCCTCGCTACCCCGGACAAACAGCTTCTAGAGACCCTTGGGGGTCCTGGCTTCCCCAGGTCACTGTCACCAGCCTTGCAGATTCTCCTGCTGAGCGCTCCTTCAAGGCTGTGCTTCCCTGACTGATGTGGGCACCTCGCACCTCCCTGGGCCCAGGTTCTGCCCACCGGCCTTGGTACCTGCTTCATCCACACTTCCACCTGGGCCAGGGCAGGCGCCTCGCCTCCTGCCTCCCAGTCCCCCCACGGTATGGTACATTTGCACACCCCGACGGCCCAGCTCAGAGGAAAAGGGTGAAGGGGACTCCAGCGCTTTCCTTCTCTCCCTGGGGCCAGGGCTCTTCTTTCTTGCTCTGGGAAGTCAGCGCCGGCCAAGCATGTGGGGGCAGTGGCAGGGTGCTCTGCACCCATCCTGGAGCAGGGCATGTGCGGAGAAGGGTGCGCCCCCTGGCTGGCAGCAGGCACAGAGGCTGGGGCTAGTGGGCAGGCTCCCCGTGCACCCTGAAGCGGTAGATGCAGGTGTACTCAGGGTGGCCCCAGTTGGTCAGGATCCGCAGTTCCACCACGTGGTAATCCGCCATCTTAGGGGTCTGTGTGGAGAAAGGCGTTATGCGTGTCACGAGGCCCTTTGAGACCTCTGGCAGGGAGGGGGGATGGGGAGATGGCCACATCTGGGGCCAGATGGCTCCCTGTCCTCCCCTGAGGCTCTGAAGGGAACAGGCAGCAGAAGTTCCTCTCTTCGGTCTCTCAGAGTAGCTGCTAGGCCGAGGGCCACTAACCCTGTGGACCTGCACAGAGGCCTGGCCTTCAGGCTACCTGCAAAGGGCCTTGGTGCTGAGGACAGTGACCACTTTGCTCTGAGGGAAAAAAAGTCCCTTCATGGAGGGCCTCATGTACGTTGATGTGGTCGGTTCTCTTTCTCAAGTGCCCACTGGCCTGGCCCTCTGCTTAAAGCCAGCATTTGAGCCAGCGTTTGCATTGGATCTCACCCTGCTGAAGCCACAGGTGTGGTGCCCTCCTCCCCTTCCCTTGACCTTTCCTGCATCACCCTTCACAATCAGCCTGCAGACTGCCTGGGAAACCTGCTCTCCCAGGACTTCTTGTCACCCTGGAGCTAACAGCTGTCCTTACGTCTAATTTCTCTCAGTGACACTGGACAGCCCCATAGGTGGCTGTGCCCAGTGGGTAAACCACTCCTCAGCTCTGCACCAGTTCGCGAGCTGGCCCCTGCTCCTCCAGCCTGACATTCAGAGCCTCCCAGCCATCCCATCCTCACTGCCCACATCCCCTGTAACCTCAGCCATTCTGGTCCACTTCCCTGTAACCACTTCTGGACCCCACTTCTGACCCTGCACCCAGGCCACAGGCTGGTCTCCTTCCATTCACATGTGATCTTAACAACATACACATGGTACTGTCACCCAAGACATGCCAGTGTCATCCCCCGGCCCCGAGGGCTAAAGTTCCTGCCTCCAGGGCCTCCTCTGCCAATGTCCCCTCCCCATCTTACAATCCCCCCTTCCTCACTTGCCTCACATATACCTGGATGGTTTGCCCTAAGGAATCATCCTCCTAGGGCAGGGCCTTGGGATCTGCATTTCTAACAGAAGACCTGATGCCTACTCAAGCTTAAGCCACAGGCACTGCCTGAGGTCCCAGCTAACCATGCCCTGGCACAAGCTGTCCTCTCTTCCCAGAACAGCCTTCACAGCTGTTTCCTGGTCACCCCAACCTTTCTTTCCTAAAACTCCTTGGTCGCACCTGCTTCAGGAAGCTCCTGACACTGCATTTCTGGAAGGGGCCCCCTGGGTGCTGTCTATAGGATGTGACATCTCTACTTCAGTACTCTAAGGGAAGGAGGGCCTGCACCTGGCAGAAGAAAGGCTGGGGAAACATCTGGTGCCCAAATGGGGAAGCCAAGTGCCACCCCGCTGTCGTGACTGTCTTATACCTGGAAGTAGAAGGTCTGAATGGGCTCCCCATCCTGGTCGTAAGTGAATGTGCCAAGCAGCGTGCCCTCTTGCTGAAGGTCTTCATCAAAGCCCTGCAAAAGAGCAGGAGGGATGGAGGGAGAAGCAGGAGAGCAGGGTGGTGCTGACTCCCTCCCACCCCTCAGGTCAGAACTTCAGGGACTTTCAGGAGTCTGGTCTGAGTGTGATGCTCACTTAACTCTGGTGCCTCAATCTCTTCCTCTGTAGGCTGAGACAACTGGGAATGAAGTGCCTCTCTGCTCTCCTCCCGCCCAGCCAGAGTGACTCCAAGTTGATCCAGGGTGGAGACCCACAGGATTCTCCCAGGGCCCTTTCCACCGCCGCCCACACGGGCCGGATACTCACGAAGATGGAAAAGTCCTTGGGGGCACTGGAGATGGTGCTATTGGGCGACAGGGCCTTGGGCACATGCTCTAAGGTGACGGCCGTGGGGCGGATGCGGGCAGAGAGGCGGACCACAGCGAACCCCTGGGGCCCCTGGAAGGCCCAGCAGTTGCCTGGGTGCACGTCTGGCTGGAGGGCACAGAAGGCGAGGCAGGTCAGGGCCTGAGTCTAGCTCTGGCCGAGCAGCCCTGCTGGAGTCCCCACCATGTGCCTACCTGGAGAATGACCCGGGGCGACTGAGAGTGGTACCACAGCGGGATGCCGAAGAGGCTGAGCAGGGCCGTTTTTGTCTCATAGGTCTCTGAACACCGGGTACTGATAACGCTAGCCCCTGATGTAGGAAACAAAGGCAGGATGGGCCCCCACAGCCAGCCAGCTCGGGGTGGCAGCCACAGGTGTCAGCACAAGGGGCGGAAGCAGCCAGAGGAGGGCCTGCCATTGCGCGGACCCTCGATGAGCACGGAGGGAAGGTGCCCCAGACCCAGGCCCAGATCCAGGGAGCAGCCTAGAAGAACCTCTTCTGGCCCGGAGTGTGGCTCAGCGCTTCCTGACTTTCTGAGCTGCCACCTACCGTGGTTGAGTCTAAGTTGGGCAATCTGTGTTGACCCCAAGGTCTTCCCGCTTAGCACCATGGCTCCTGGCAAATCCCCGGAGTACTGCCATTGCGGGGACCAGGATAAGGCAAAGTGAAGAAGGCGGTGTGCGTACCTCCCGACTCCAGGGCGTAGTCCACCATCCCAATGCGGTCCTCGCTGTAGCGCTGCAGGGCCTGCTTTACGATCCGCTGCACCTGCTGAAACAGGCCCGGCAGACAGTCTCAGTGGGAAGCAGGCATCGTACTGCCCAGGACTGTTCCCCATGCACTAACCCAGCAAACCACCACCCACCATGCCCAAAGCACAAAACCAGAGCCTCCTATGTGTCACGTGTGCCCTGGAGCATCCCGTCCAGGTCTACAGCTCCCAGCAGGGACAGCAGTGCATCTGTGGGGTGCACGTGCTCCTCACCTCCTCGGTCACCCCGACCACACCTTCCTTCTGCAGCGTCCGTCCCAGCAAGGCCGCGGCCTCCCGAGCTGACTTGCCCTGCATCTCTGTCACGTGGGTGAGGATCTTGCTCTCCAGTTCCTGCAGCTGAGCTTGCACCTCCTCTCTCTGGAGGAGCCCTGCCCGAGTGCCCCCACCATGGAGAAGGAAGTGACTGACCCAGGCAGGGAACTGAGATTCCACCTAGGAACAAGACATGGAGTCACTGGGAGGCTTGCAGGAACCATGGGGCTGCTATGGCCAGGCCAGCCAAGTTGGGTGGTGCTCAGTTGGGGAGCAGGGTCTGAGAGGGAGGCCCACAGAGGAAAGGGTTAGGAGCTCTCCCCGTACCCATGAGAAACAGGAAGCACTCCTGTTACAAAGCCCTCGCCTGTGTCGAGTCCAGCTCTGCAGCAGGCTCCCAGAAATAACAGGCAGGGATAAGAGGCCCCTGCTGTGTACACCCAAGGCAGATGGTTTTAGATGAGGGGGCATTTGGTGGGGCCCTTGGGTGCTTCCAACTCACATCCTCCCGCATGGCCTGGATCTTCTGGGGCAGCAGCCCCACTTCATCCTCCACTGCACTCTGCTTCAGGCTCAGAGCTGCCAGTTCCTGCCGCAGGCTGGTTAGCTGGGCCTCCAGCCGCCCCAGCTCCTGCACAGAGTTCTCCCAGATGGCCTCCTGGGTCATCCTGGTCCCAGAGAGAGAGGAGTAAGGGTACAAGGTGAGGCTGAGTTGCAGAAGAACGAGGATGCCCTTGCTGACCCGTCATACAGCGTGTGCCCAGCACCCAGAGTGAGTGAGAGAGGCAGGGCCTGCCCTCAGGGGTCTAGCTGTTCCAGGAGACTGGCCACTGGCTTGCCTGGCACAGAGCAAATTCTGATTTGATTTCTTTTATGTCTAGAGTCTGTAATTCCTTTTGCCACAGCCTTTCCATCTTCCGAAGTATGCACGTGTGGGCTGTGAGGAGGCTATGCTGCTAGCACGAGGCCACACAGAGAAGGCAGTGTCGGTCAGCCAGCCCTGCGGTGCCCACCTCCACCTCAGACATCCCTCACGGCCCTCCGTCATGTCTCGGACTGGCCACACGCATTCCCGAGCCAGGCCTCAGCCACCGTGCTGGGTAGACAGTCAGAACCCGGCTCCTGGTTCTGCTCCCAGATCTGCCTGGGATGGGGCTTGAGGGTGGCTTAGGCCACATGGTGGGGCACTTACCTTTGCCACTCTGACTTCAGCTGCTGGAGGCGAGCCTCGGACTCCTGAGACAGGAAGAAGGGACAAGTAGAAGAAATACTGGGCTCAGAGAACACGGCTTCCAGAGAAGGACCTGCTCTCCACTGGGGTCTCTGCTTCACTGCATGCCTGCCCAGGGTCTCCTGGCCCCTGCGGCAGACCTCAAACTGACTGCCTGGCCAGTGTCCTCCTTGAAAGTCTCACCCCATGACCTACACGCTCCAGCATGCACACAGTGGGCAGCATAGCTGAGAGCACCCAATTGGGGGAGCTGAGCTCACACAGGCACATCCCTCCCACTCAATGTCCCAGCGGTCCTCCTGCAAGGTCCAAAGGTCCCGGGGGTCTCACAGCCCAAGGACAGATGAAGAAATGGGCCAGGACCCTGGTACAAGCTGAGTGCCTGGCCCACCAACCTGGGAGGCCTGGACGATCTTCTTGAAGAGGTCCTCTGAGTCGTGGTGATGTTCCGCCCTCACGGTGGCCAGTTCTTCCTGTCAGACAAGGAGGAGAGGACTGAAGATTGGACAGCTGCACCTGGAGGGGTGCCTGCAACTAGGAGGAGCCTAACTGGGATTCAAACTGGGGTCCTTTGGTTCCCAGGCTTTGGCTCATGGTCTTATGCCACCGAGCTTCTGTGAAATGTGCAAGAGCCTGGCTTGTTCTCTGGCACAACCCACGCCGTGTCAGCACTATACCAAGGGCCCCAAATCACACATCTTGCACCTCCAGGGCAGGAGGGCGACAGGACAGACTCCATTTTAAAGAGGAGGCAGTTGAGGCCCAGCCAGGGTGAGTGCCAAGTGGCAGAGCTGCCTGACCCTAAATGACACACTGTGGTCTCCTTCATGTCCTGCACGGGCCCCTGCACCCCACATGCCCAGTCACAAGTTCGCACGATGACACCCGTAATCGACACACAGCTTTCTCTCCCACCTGGATGCGAGTGGCGGTATCCCTGCGGAAGTCCTCCTTCAGGGCAGCCTCCCGGCGGCTCACCAGCCCCTCCAGGAGTGCCAGGGTGTCCTCGTGGCTCAGGCCACTGCCACCGCCCTGGCCAGTGGACCCCTGCCGCAGCTCCAGGCGCTCTAGCCGAATGGACTCCTTTTGCCAGTTGGAGGAAAACTCAGCAGCCAGCGCCTCCAGGCGCCGCTCTAAGGAGTGCACTTGCGACAGGATGCGCTGCTCGGCCTAGGAGGTGAGGAGGAGATGAGCACATGAGGGACCCGGAACTCCGTAAGTGAGGCAGAGAGAGAAGGAGAATCAAGGAATGCCCAGCGCCAGGAAGGGAGGCACCAGAGCTGCAGCTGCGTCTGTGCTGAGAGTGAGGCACAGGGTGGCCAAGAGGGGTCTCAGGACAAACTGTGAGAGCTGCATCGCAAAGGAGGAGTGGAGGTAGTCAGGGGAGAGAGCCTGAGCCAAGGGACTGTCCGAAGGAAGGATGAGACACTAGGATGGCCACGGGGGCCTGGGTGATGAGCTGGCCGCTGCCTGCTGTCTTTCTCCTGAGTTCTGGCCAGTGGCTCTCAACTGCAGGTACTCCTTACACAGAAGAGAACGTGATTTGAAAGTGCTTTCTTTTTCCTCTTTAACTGGATGCTCAGCGAGGAGGAACAATCATTTGGACCTCAAGGTGGCATCTGATAGTGTGCTATGAATTTTGAGGACCTTGTTGGCATAAAGAACAAAATCTTATAAAACACAATCTGTCAACTGTCAGTGAAAGTGCTGAGTGGCAGAGGTTCTGCTTTTTAGAAATCCCGTGTTTTAAAAAGGCCCAGCCAGTGTCCTCACCACCACCCTCACCCAGACCAGTGTTCTTCTCAGTTTTTATGCAAATGTCAGTGAGACAAAGGCAGCCCATGCTTTACTTCTTTCTCTTAAGGAAAAGACTGCCCAAAATTGAGTATAATGATGAAAAGGGGAAGATGGAGATGACAGAATATGTCATTATTTTATGAAATAATAAGATCATGCTCGGAAAATATCCACAAGAATATATGACTAAAAATGTGGTATCAAATTAAAACCAGCAGGGATGGGGATGTAGCTCAGTAACACTGTGCCTGCCTTGCAAGCGCAAGGTCCTGAGTTCAATCCCTGGTACCTGAAAAAAAAAAAATTAAATCCAGCAGGATGCACACAACGTTTAAATAACTATCGGGGATGAAGAGTTTTAAGTGACCTGAGCTGATACCACAGTCTGGCTGTGTGTCCACTTGTTATGAGTCATTCCCACTGGGCTGCAGGCTCCTCGAGGGCACAGCCAAGGCCTGATCGTTCTTTAGATGCTTGTAGATTTTAAAACTGGCCATGTTCCTCACTCTTCCTTGTGTCTGTACCCTCTGCAGCTGGGTGGCTGCCTCCTCTCCCTTGGAACCCTGCCTGGCTTCTGTGACAGCAAGGCTGGGAGAGCCTGCTGGATGACCTAAGTGTCCATGGAGGGCAGCTGACCCTGCAAGGGCCCAGGCCAGGCAACTGTGCAATACACACGGCCCAGCCAGGATGGCTTGTCCTTGCTCAGACAAGAAGGGCCACCCCAGCTGAGACTCAGGAGCCGATGATCAAATGCTTGTCATTTCTTGCCACAGAGTTCAGGAGTGGCTTCTTTGTGATCACAGGTACCGGAGCAGGATATGACGTCACACACAGAAGGGCTCAGGCAATCTCAGTGAGATTGTATTGAAAGGGAACAAATGAATGAAATAATCAATAATTAGTCCTCTGCCTGTTTTCTGACCTTAGGATGCGGCTAACTTTTGGGTGCCCTTCTAAGTTGTGTTTAAGTGCAACACTTCCTCTCCCCAGCACCTGCACCCCAGAAAACAGGAAAAGGGACGTCATAGGAGGACAGCATATCCTCAAGTTGCGGCAAGGTGTAAGACAGGGATGCCCAGTGCAAGGACATCAGAGTCAGGGTCTGCCCGAATCTCGGGTGCTCACCTGGAAATGCGGGGCCGTTTCTCTGGAGTCCCACACCGCGGGCTGCCTCCTGCTGTCCCTTGCCGCCCACCAGGAGACCACAGCGGGGTGCAATGTCTGCAGCCCAAAGGGGTAGAAGTACCATGCACCTGTGCACAGGGAAAGGCTGGTCACACTCGACTGAGGAGGGGGCAGCAGAATCTCCTCGGTTACCATGGTCCATGTCACCCGCAGAGCCCTGCTCTGCCAGAGGTGGCCCTTCTGGTCGATGGCCTCAGAGGACACCCATGCTCTTGTCCCCCGGGGTCCTTTGTCTGTAGATGACAAAGCTCCAAAAAGGACGGCTTTAATGAGTCAGGGAGGATCCAGGGGTTGAACCCAGGGCCCTGTCAGAGGTTCTCAGGCCTGGCCTTACAGCAGTCATCCCTGGGGAACTTTTAAAACATCCAGTGTCTGACTGTGCCCTCGCCCTCCTCTGGAGACAGTTGACTGGCTTGGGCTTGGGCCCTGTGCGTGGGTTTTTAGAAGCTCCCCAGGGGGTTTTGTGGGCTGCCAGGGTGGAGTGTCCCTGAACAAAAATGCAGCACCAGGGCTCAGAGCTGCAGGCAGACAGACACGCTTCTTGCTCTGTGGACATCTGTTTGCGACGATGACTCCTAAGGGGTGTGGAGTGGGGGAGAACTGGAAACCATGCTGGCCGCGGGGTCTCCATCCCAGGAAACTGTGCTTGCAGCTCAGTCATGGACTGTGAGCAGGTCGAGGGGAAGGACACGGCCACTGCACTTGAAACCACGGCCACACCCTCCACAATGTGCAGGTCACCAGCCCCCATCCACCTCCACCCCCAGGGAATGACAGCAGCCACACTGGCTCTACCAGCCCCACACTGAGATAAGGCCTGGGAAAGTACTTTCTGGATAAAATGCCATGCAATTAGAAAGGACCATTATTATTTTAAAGGTGATGCCCAGTTTCCACTAGGTATGAATAAGCCATTTTCATAACAGGAAACAGAGGAAACCAACTCTTGCAATAATGTCCTACCCTCTCATTGATAGAAGAAATTACAAGTCGAAGAGCTGCTAAAACTATAAAATCAACTCTAAAAAATGATAAGATACAGACTTTAGTTACAAATTGGAGGGCCAGGGATTTAGCTCAGTGGTTCCACCACCTGCCTCGCAAGCATAAGGCCCGAGTTCAATTTCTAGTACCAAAATGGGGAGGGGAGGAAGGGGTAAAGGGAGGATAGGGACAAGGGGAAAAAAATGAGAACCAAGACCTGTCATGTAAAGGTACAAGATCCCAATAATGATGTAACTGTACTGTATACCTAGAATGTACCAATAAACTCAATAAAAAGAAAAAAAAATTTCCAGTAC